TATTAATAGCATTCATAACGACTTACAACATCAGCCATGCTGAGATGGTTTAATCATGCAACTAAGAACAATAGAATGACTGAAGCATGCTGCCAACTAATTCAGGGAGGTGCGAAGGGTGCTTCAGGACCAGTGCGTCTCAACAAGTTCCCACCCGTCCTATTTGTTTGGATCTGACTGATCTTGAGCCGTAGCCACTGCTTGGCACTTCTGGGGCTCGGGGAAAAACGGTTTCCAATTCAAGCTTTCAGACCGTGGCGATAGTGACGTGAGAACTCGCTCAACCAGACGGCATGCTAGCGAATGCAAGGCTCTTGCTCCATGAGGCTGCCATGACTGTCTGTAGTGGAGAATGCAGGATTTACCATCGTCACATCCAAGAAAACTGAAGCGACGCAAAAGCATGCACTGCACCCTGTCCTGTGTCAGCCGGAAAGCCTGTAGTAAGTGCCGGAATTTCTTCCGTGCCTGCATGGGATCTTGGAGACATGGGGCACTTTGCCACAAATCTGTCATCCCAAAGATTCGTTAGACCTTCATCTTGAAGTTTTGACTGGGCAGCAGCCCGCGTGGTACCTTGACAATCCACAGCTGTCGCGAAGGTAGTCGTGCATCAGCTTCATTTGAGGTCCTTCACGAGGGTGTTCCCTGATGCTCGTTTAACCGGCAAGATACCACCCCAGTAACGTTGGACTGGCTGTCTCAACGACAAGATTAACCTGCCACCTCGACTGCAAACATCGCGATAGGGCTCTGCAAGCACCATTGGCCCAAGTCAGATTCTAAAGACGGAGCGTTCAAAACATCGCGGCTTGTGAACACCGAACAGTGTGAACACAACTATCATGAACGAACTCCTCTCGTGTTCACACCTGACAACGAGGAACGTGGCCTGCTTGTTCTGAAGGCCGTCCAAGCGCACAGTCTCCCCGTCGTCGATGTTCTTCGCTTTAGGTGTTGTGGCTGTGGGGTTTCACGGCAGGGTTTCCAGGGACCATGGATACAGAACGATGTGCTCATGCCACAACCCTGAAATTAATTTGCAGGCAGAAGCAATCGTCCGAAATTTGTGCGCATGTGCGGGCTTCGTTCGTGTGTGTGTGTGTGTGCCTTTGCGTGTGCGTGTGCGCGTGTGTGTCTCTCTCTCCGCGCGCGGGTGTGTGTGTGTGTGTGTGCGTGTGTGCGTGTGTGTGTGTGTGTGTGTGTGGTGTGTGTGTGTGTGTGTGTGTGTGTGTGTGTGTGTGTATGTGTTTGTGGTTGCGTGCGCGCGCGTGTGCGCGGGTGTGTGTGTGTGTGTGTGTGTGTGTGTGTGTTGTCTGTGTGTGTGGGGTTGCGTGTGCGCGCGTGTGTGCGGGTGTGTGTGTGTGTGTGCGCGTGTGTTTGTGGGTGGGGGGGGTTGTCCGTCTGCGTCCCTGTCTGTGCCTGCGCCTGCGCCTGTGTTTGGGCTTGTGCCTGTGTATCTGTTTGTCTGCACCTGTGCACGGACAGGCTTTGCACCACTATAACTTACAAGCTGCTGTGATCCGAAAGTGTTGAAAACGAGTTTTGAGAAGAAACCCAAACCCCAATGAAAGCAAAACCGCACGCCAGGCTATCGGCAAGGGCCATGCACAGACCTCAAACCGCTGCGCACCCAACCCACCCCGACTTGCACGGCGTCCTCGAAAGCATTCTGCAGATCCTCTTCTACGTTAGAATCAAGCTGCAGAAGGCCTCCAATCCTCGAAACTGATCAGTCATCGCGGGTTTGTGAGCGCAGACTGTTCAAGCATGTTCAAGCGTTTCGGGCTTGGGCCTCGGTTGTAATAGGACATCCATCTTGGAAGTACCAGCTGTGGAAGAAGCTCTTCCTTTTTCGCAGGTTTATAATTACGTTACTTTGGGTCGTTGCAATGTCTGGGTTGAAGTATCCAGACTGAAAGAAGACTGCCCTAAAGGAAGACACTGCAGCATTGCCTATCTTCCCAAAATGGTGCAACACGGTTGCAAGCTGATACTCTTGCCTTGCCTTCGCAGGCTTGCCCTAGGGCTCCAGTATCTAAGTAATGGGTTGCTGGGCTACATGTAGGGTTGCACAAGGTGCCAATGTCAGCTCCAGGGTTTGCAAAGTGCTCGGTTTGCAGTTGAAGCTGTGGTCAGCTGAAGTAGCCCTTTCGAGCCATAGGTTACATAGTATACATTACCTGTTTTACACTTTATGTTATATGTTGCTTTGTATATGTATATATATATATATATATATATATATGGTACCCCCCCTCCGGTACCTACCTTTTCGGTGTCGTTATCAATACTATAGGCTTACACGTGCACTGGTTTCGACTGGTACCAGGGTGGGGAGGTGCCCGACAATATACAGTGTATATATATATATATATATATATATATATATATATAACTTGCACCTCTCATTTCCTGAACTTGGCTGGCTACGCTCTACGCTTACCCCCTTCAGTGCATTGAAACACGACAGCATGCAGATCAGATCTAGCGTCTTGCACTCTTACACCGGTCCGCGGCACGGATATTTCCACCTGCCATAGTAAGGGTCTGCATTGGGCATATCTCTAAATTACTCATCTTGTAGTTATCCCGTCGAGCTTTTTTGGGGGAACCCAAACCTCGAAAAGGTTTGGAGTCTAAGGAGCACTGTTTAACCCGAAAAAACTTTGAGGATCTCATGTATAGGGGCCTTAATAATTGGAATAAATAGGGCTTTGGGGGAGGGGGGTCCTTATTCTAATTATAGTATAATATAGCCCCCCTCCCCCCCCCCCACACCCTGTTCGAATTATTAAAGTTTCCTACATTATTTGTGCGAGTCACTGGCGAACCGCGTCGCTGCGCTCACAATTCCAGTCGAGGGCCCGTTCGGCACGTTTCCTGGGCCCAGCTCTCAATGCTCTTTGCTTCGCTCCTACTGGGATGCTGAGGCAAGTTTAATAACGTATTCAGGCAATCTTCAGTGGCGAGTTGTTCTAGAAGTTTTTCATCTGTCACAACCAGGCACATTCCAGGTTTCTAAAGCTTTCTTCATCAGGACTTGTGCAATCCCCTGAAGGTCTGGGCACAAGGAGGTTCAGCTCTCAGAGTCTATAAGGACAAAAGGAGTCCAAGCACGCTCGTGGAGAGCGGTTCGGACTGGCGCAGCTCGAGTCGGGGTCTTAGTCTGTGACAAAGCCTGCAACTAGTCCACGCTGTAGAAATGAACGACGAAGTTGCAGTGCTAACCATGTATGAATCTCTGCGGTGGTCAAGACTGTCGCGGCATCTGGTCCAGGCTGGCTTTTGAAGTCTGAGCCAGTCAACTTTCGGCAGGGACGGTACTCCACAGGAGAGCCCTCGTCCAGTCTTGTGGAGTCAGGCTCGTGCGCATCTGGGACATCTAGTTCCCTATACGAGGCTCTCCTTGGCCTTAGCAGCATCTTTATCCCTGCAGTTCTGGGTTTCGGCGCTCGCACTGGGACGGACCAGGCGAGGCATATTTGGTTCGAGGTCTGATAAAGAGGTGCAACAACATAGCAGGAGTTTTGGACCACAAGAAACAACTCAACTCTACAGGTGAAACTCAGAAGAACTAAGGGTTTCGGCCGTTCTCCCACTGAGATCTTTTTTACTGCACAGATATATCATCTAGTTGAAGATCTCAGCCACTACCTTGAGGAGATCACGCAAGATCGGGACTCAGGTAAACCTAGGTTCTGGGTTTAAGGTCTATAAATCTGGGGGGAAACCAGCAAGGAAAGCGACGTCAAGAAGCTCTGCTCTGCGCAAGCTTGCAATTCCGACTCCGACTCTTACCCCTGCGACATAACCACCGGCCGGACTATGTCAACATGACGGCTTACATTCATGTGCAGCCTTGAATCTTCTCTTTGCCGTCGTCTTTCCTTACAGAGAGACCGGCAGAGACGACTTGTCACGGGGTTGAGGCAACAGCTGAAGGGGAGCCGGAATTGAAGGGCATAGATGGTAGGGCTTACGTGTTTTATTCAAATTCCTTGAAACAAAACGGGGTCTAGGAAGGACCTTGCCAGCATGGCTGCCTGCCGAGGTGCTTGGCCGCCTTCTTCTCTTTCTTGTTTTTTTTGTCCTTTTTGTCCTGCTTGATTGACGAACATTCTGGACTTCGGCGTGTCTGTAGCATATCGTATCTGATGAATCTGATGCCTGTTTTTCGGACTTACTTCTGCTGCTTTCGAGCTGCCTCGCCGGCGCAGAAAAGTCTCCGTCCTTCTTCGCCTTCTTTTTCTTGGCACTCTCGCTGTCTGATCCGCTGCTTCCCATGACGGCTGCACATGGGAGGGGGGGAGGGGGGCGGAGTAGAACACGTGCGATGTCTGAAGTAGCTGAAAATGCGAACTGCGGTGGCTGAAGAGTATCACATCCAATGCTTCCGAAAAGCTTTGCCCGGGGGGGGAAGAGGCCGGGCTGTCTGTGGTCGGCTGCTACCCACCCCGGTACCAAAGAAACGGTTAAAGTCTGAAGAACCCCCGGGGGCTAGTCTATTTTCTTTCTTAGCGCAAGAAAGAATAAGTCACTGCTAACTGCCAGATCCCGAGCCAAATTCGACAGCACGTGCTCGCACTACCTCTCTTCCCAGCCGGACAAGCATGAATCACGGGCCAGCATCGCATGGCGGTTCCGTCAGAAGGGCCGGGGCATAAACACTCAGGGGTCATAAGCACTCAAGCTTTGGGCAGAATGCGCACGGGACGCCTGTCAAAACCTGCTAGTACTGCGGAATGCCTTTCGACTAATCATGCTCTTAAATATATGTTCACAGTTCCCAACCGCAAGACTGAAAGCATCTTCAAACATGGAGCCCTGCAGCTACACTCTATTACAATCATTTCTTCTGCTCAGTATCAAGTTCTCATGCGGTTCCACCTCCGCGAATGTGAACTGCAGGCGGCTGTCACTGCACCGCGTCATCCCCCCAGTTCCCCCGAACATCCAGACCCGTAACCCCGTTGCTGTCAAGCTGGCTTCCGGCTTGCCTCGACACGCGACTGTCGGAGCTGCTTCGCACGCATGATGCTCTGGGCGCCCATCTCCGCGGGGAACCTGGGCGAACATACCATCGCCCAAAACTAAGACGCTGAAAACATGGAGCCCTTGCCCTGAACCGTGTCTCGCTCGCTCTGTCGCTCTCTCTCTTTTGCCTGCTTGCTTGAGGGCGTGTGCGCGCTAGCGGCTGCTAGCGCTACACCTGTGTCTGTGTCCGGTCTGTGTGAAACAAGTGTTTGGACACCGGGAGCAGCCGCTTCGCCCCAACTGCCACAGCCTATGAACCCACAGAGCATGCCCCCGCCTTGGGATGTGTCCGTTTCCCTCTCCTTCGGTCGAAACTACGGCCCCCGACCATTTGTCGGCTGAGGCTTTCGGCATTGTTCCCAGTCCATGTGCCGTCTTGCCAGGGCTCCTGTCGGTTCCTTTGGCTTCGGAACAACTGCAACAAACGGCTTATCATGCTCATCAAGGTCTACACACTGCACGAGCGAGTTCTTCTGAGGGCCCCTCTCTCTCTCTCTCTTCCGGGCTTGGGGGTCGCGGCGGCGTTCAGGCCCCTCCCCTCTCTCTCTCTCTCTCTCTCTCTCTCGGGCATAGAGGCCGGTCAGGGCCTCCGGGCATCATGCCCACCCGAAGTGTTTGCGGGTTTTCGGAGGCGTGAAGTATGAGCATAGACCACCTATCAGCTAAAGCCATAACGTATGCGATATCGTCGTTAAGGTGCTCGTATGCTCTCGAAGGACACGTGCAGAGTCGCCAACACTTTCCCGGGTTGTCAGGAAGAGGATAGAAGATTTGGTACAACAAAATGCTGCCACTCCACTCCCCTCTCTCTCTCTCTCTCTCTCTCTCTCTCTCTCTCTCTCTCTCGGGCATAGAGGCCGGTCAGGGCCTCCGGGCATCATGCCCACCCGAAGTGTTTTCGGGTTTTCGGAGGCGTGAAGTACGAGCACAGACCACCTATCAGCTAAAGCCATAAAGTATGCGATATCGTCGTTAAGGTGCTTGTATGCTCTCCAAGGACACGTGCAGAGTCGCCAACACTTTCCCGGGGTGTCAGGAGGAGGATAGAAGATTTGGTACAACAAAATGCTGCCACTCCCCTCTCTCTCTCTCTCTCTCTCTCTCTCTCTCTCTCTCTCTCGCTCTCTCTCACGGGCATAGAGGCCGGTCAGGGCCTCCGGGCATCATGCCCGCCCGGAGTGTTTTCGGGTTTTCGGAGGCGTGAAGTACGAGCATAGACCACCTATCAGCTAAAGCCATAAAGTATGCGATATCGTCGCTAAGGTGGTCGTATGCTCTCCAAGGACACGTGCAGAGTCGCCAACACTTTCCCGGGTTGTCAGGAAGAGGATAGAAGATTTGGTACAACAAAATGCTGCCACTCCCCCCTCTCTCTCTCTCTCTCTCTCTCTCTCTCTCTCTCTCTCTCTCTCTCTCTCTCTCTCTCTCTCTCTCTCGGGCATAGAGGCCGGGGCATAGAGGCCGGTCAGGGCCTCCGGGCATCATGCCCACCCGAAGTGTTTTCGGGTTTTCGGAGGCGTGAAGTACGAGCATAGACCACCTATCAGCTAAAGCCATAAAGTATGCGATATCGTCGCTAAGGTGGTCGTATGCTCTCCAGGGACAGGTGCAGAGTCGCCAACACTTTCCCGGGTTGTCAGGAAGAGGATAGAAGATTTGGTACAACAAATGCATGCTGCCACTCCCAGCTCTCTCTCTGTCTCTCTCTCTCTCTCTCTCTCTCTCTCTCTCTCTCTCGGGCATAGAGGCCGGTCAGGGCCTCCGGGCATCATGCCCACCCGAAGTGTTTGCGGGTTTTCGGAGGCGTGAAGTACGAGCATAGACCACCTATCAGCTAAAGCCATAAAGTATGCGATATCGTCGTTAAGGTGCTCGTATGCTCTCCAAGGACACGTGCAGAGTCGCCAACACTTTCCCGGGTTGTCAGGAAGACGATAGAAGATTTGGTACAACAAAATGCTGCCCCTCCCCTCTCTCTCTCTCTCTCTCTCTCTCTCTCTCTTGCTGTCTTTGCTTTGCTAGGGGTGTAGGGCGCGAGCAGTCCTCCCGCCCCGCGCGTTAGCGCTACCCCATCCAACATTTTGTTTGGATGGGCTCGGCTTTACATAGCAAAGGGTGCTCCGAAACTGTGTTCCCCGTATGGGGTGTTTGTTTGCTCGCACCGGCACTGTTAAGAATCTGGTATGCAAAAGGCTGTGTGTATGAGGGGAAAAACGTGCTTGAATTGACGGCCATGCAAGTCTTATGCAAGCTGTTGGCACACCATTCTAGGGTTGATGGAAATGAGCGGGTGCCCCTCAACACAAATTAAAAGGTAAGTTAGGTGGCTTCAGAGTGTCGCGTTCACTTTTTTCCACCGGCGGCAGAGGTGTTGTTCACGGATCCGGGTGTCCCCGGCGAGTTGCATGGGTGTACATCAGACATATGTCCCAAAACTTGTAGCCACTGGTGCCTCGCCTTTGTAGTCGGCGCTCACTTCTCTCACCTGTGCCTTCGAAGTGCTGCAGCTGTGTCGTCGTCCTTTGGTCCTGGGTCGTGGTTGGCACTTGGTGTCCTGTGCCTTCGAGGTGCTGCAGCTGTGTCTGGGTCGTCGTCGGCCACGGGTGTCCTTTGCCTTCTCGGTATCCCTGCCACTATCACGTTCATGCCGGGCTTCGTGTCCCCCGTCCAGTCTGGTCCCTCTTCAGCGTCTGGCTGAGGTCGCCTGCGAGGGAGAGGTGGTCGAGCAGCTTGATCTCGCTGTTGCCCTTTTGAACGATGTGGTTCTCCCCCTGGTGACGCGTCTTCACTCTGAGTTCCTCCATCAAGTGGCATGTTGCCCCTCCCTACTACCGGACCACCTCCGGAGTGGGCCGGTTTCAGGAGAGGTCTTCGCGACCCCTTGGGCACTTGAGAGCCCGACATGTTACGGCGAATGGCCTCAAGCCACCCACCGCCCTCGGCACGTCCACCCCCCAAGCCCACAGAGATAACCCTCTGTGGTCTCGAGGGGCCAGCCGAAAAGCGACCCGCTCCGAGGAGCAGGCAGGCGAGCGATCTCTTGCTCTCTCTCTCTCTCTCTCGCTCTCGGTAAGGGCCAGGGCTTCTGCCCTCTCGCGCAACGCTACCAGCTCCGAGCCGAGTAGATTCGGCTTGAGAAGTGGCAGCTCCGCGACACTGCTTACTGCAACAATCGCACGACAGAAGCAGGCACATCTCGGACGAATATCATGAACAAATCCTCCTCGCCACTAAGCCTGACTACACAAACAAATCCAGGCGAATCTAATACTTGTCAGGGGCTACAGACCATTAGAAGCATGGAAGTCCTGGTTATGAGATCTCATTGGATACTGTAAGCGGGGCATCGTAAAAGCAGTGAATTTCACGGTCACAAGATGTCAATGATTCCTGTGTCATCATCAGCACCTAACCTGCGGATCGGTCACACTCATCGTGACATCACGTTAGGACCATGGGCGGCATCGCCACTGCAATCATTGCGTGGTCATCTTGCGCTAGAGGAAGCTTCCCAATCGGCGGGCCGGACTACATCTTGGCAGCCGGGAAGCGGCATCGTCATGGCAATGTCGATCTCCATGCGGCTATTGTTTGCAGCTGCCTGTCTTACACCAGGGACGTTCGTGTCATTGCCATGTCCAGGCTGTAGAGGGGTTTGTCCACCTATGTCTAGATCGTTCCACCGTGATCTTGCCAGGCGTAGTTTCAAGTGTGCTAGTGGCAGGCTGGGTGGGATGTCTGCGGTGCCGTTTACATCCTTGCAATTGGCAGTGCAGGAACAAGGGCATGCTAGTTTCGTTAGCAAAGGAAACTCGAATGCAGTCACGTTCTGACAATCGAGACCGATGCTGCGAGGCTGAGCTGCAGCCTATCCTCAGACCTGAAGCCTCTTGGGAACTTATGACCATAGACTGACTGCGGCTTGCTGGGGAGCATGGCTTGCCGAGTAGCTGCTGTAGGAGCCGCAGTTGTTGGCGCTGCTGTGGACACCACCCTGCTAGGAAGCGCTGTCGTAGAAGCACCCGCAAGAGGCGGAGATGTCACAGCTGCAGCTGTCGAAGCAGCCGCAGTGGGAGCCGCCGTCGTCCGAGGTGTTGTCGACGTGGTGTGCTCCAAAGTGGAGCTGCTGAGCTTGGCTTTGACGGCAGAAGTCAGATCCTGCTTGTCCTGGTCCTGGGCAGCTGCGAGGTCTGTGCTCACAAACCACAGTACTGACAGTTTGTTTCCAGCGCGGACAACATAGATGCCAAGTATGATGTGCCCGCTCCTCAAGTGTATACGTACACAAATATACAGCCAGCTGATAGCAGCACTACAAACCTGACGTGTGTGCCTGCGCGGTTGTGTGCGAGTGCGTAGGCTGACATTATCTGGTGTTTCTACATACATATATATATATATATATACATCTGTGTGTGTGTGTGTGCGCGCCTGTCTGTGTTTACGTTTTGATCTGAGATCAAACTTGCCAGATGCGTATGCGAATGTGAGGGCTCTAACCAATTATGGCATACGCTCAGATCCACCAGCCACGACATGCAAGCGATCATGCAGTATGACCGCTCACAACCTGCAAAAGTGCCCTCCGACTCTCCGACCGGTGAGCAACCAAGTTGCAGTCTCAGCTCGAACTGTTGTCCGCACGGCGGCTTCTGTCGTAGCTTCCTGTCGCGTAGGGCGTGTGCGGCCAAAGGGTGTTGAGTGAGAAGGGCCGTGTGCTCAATATGGGAACCGCCCCTCAGAATTCGCGTGCAGAGGACTTGCTCCTTTGCAGCCGGGTCAGCCCGGTAGACTGGGGCGCTTGGGGCTGTAGCATGTAGATCTGTTGAGTCCCAACTCGCTGTCTTCGGGAGTTGTTGAGACTTCGGTTGACGCAGATCAATTGCCATGTGCCGTGGTGGCCTCTGTGGTTGGCTTTGAAGTTGAAGAAATATCGAGCTTATGCAAGCCTAGGGCCTACAGTTTTAGGACTCAGGATGCAGAGAGTGCCCTTTGCAGGCGAATTCCGAGAGATCCAATGCTTTGTTCGTTGAGGGCTTGGCGGTCTGTAAACCCGAAGAAGTCGCACTAACACAGTCGAGCCTTCGCGGGTTCTCAAGGCTTTCGAAGACACCCAAAACCACTGTTATAGCTTTGCCCTACCCTTGGCAACGGCGGAAGATTCTGCTGCAGAGATGCCATCGTTGTCGAAGCTTGCCTTTCTCTGTGGGCAGGGAGGTACGGATCAACCTGCAAACACAGCGAAGCCATGGACTCTGCGCTCTTTCCCGCACTTCGCAGAGCAAAATCATCCACACACATCCTGGATGCTATGCTGTTACCAACATGGCATTACATTTTCCTGGATGCATGGAACTACGACGCGGATGTCATTCAGGTTGTGGAGTAAAACGTGCGACTTAACATGTACTTTACCCACATGTGTAGATCTACGTATATACAACCACAACGCATGAGCGTATACGGATGCAGAAGTGAATATGTGCCATACACAGAAAGTTACAAGTGAATAGACAATTTTTGACTTGTTGAATGAACGAATACCCAAGCTAATAAACAAACAAAACAGCATTGTGGGTAAGTCTGTCTGTCTGTCTGTTTGTTTGTCTGTCTGACTATACACAATAGACAGACAGAAAGACAGGCATGCAGGCAGGCAGACAGCAGACAAACCGACGGACAGTCGACGGACAGACCGACGGACAGACAGACAAACAGCCAGCCAGCCAGCCAGCCAGCCGGCCAGCGAGCCAGCCAACTAGCCAGACAAACGGACAGCAGAGAAGGTTCGATGTAGCATTACCTAGGATAAAGATAAACAGAGGTACACAGGGATCTGCGACTTGAATTCTGACCAGCTGCCCCGAAAATGTTCAGAAGTTTGTATACCATACCATACAAAACGGTCGATAATATTGAATTGTTTATTTAGTATACAGTAATTATCTCAGATCATGGATCCCAGTCGCACACAGCCTACGTCTAACAATTTGGAAATACTTCTGCTGATGCATGACATGCCCGAACTGGTAGTGCTTCCTGAGTCAGCCCCAGGAACGTGCTGTTGTGGGCCCATAACCAAGAAGCCTCAGATGGCCCAAAAGATTGAAATCCCTTGTCGTCACCTCCTCGGTGGTTGTCTCATCTTCTTGTGTAAACACTTTCTGCTTCACGAAGACAGTGTAGACGGGGTCATACCTGAGCCCAGAAGCATGTCTCAAAAAATGCAACTGCCCGTGCAGGCAAGATTCTCCGGCGAGGTCATCCTCTGAAGCTTCACCCCGCTTGATAGCTCGGCGAATGGCTGACTGTTGCTGGAAAGGGGGGGCTGCATGGAAGCTTACTGTCCCCAGCCTTCCTCCTGCGCCATCCACGTCGGCTTCTGCCACCGGAAATCGAACATCCTGAAACCCTGAAGCCCGGATTGAATCGAACACCTGATCCCCCTGAAATGCAAAAATCTGAGAGTGTGTGTTTCCCGTCTTGGTTTCCCAGGCAACTACCGGGTCCTACTTCTCGAATCAGCCACTTGCGACGAAGATGCGCCAGCGTGCTTTCTTCACACCCCTGATGTTTCCAGCACCTTCTGCAACACACGACCGTTACGGCAGAACAAGCTATGCACATGGTGCCAAAACTGTGCAAGTATCAGTCGCAGCTTTGTATATGATACCGTAGTGTTTTTTTTTTTCCGGTTTCCCCTCTCCACCAATGTGTCCATATCTTTGAAACGAAGCAATCAAGGCTCCGGATGCATGTGTTTGCGAGTGTCTTTCGCGTGACCTGACGGCTTTTTCCGATTCATATTCATTGCACAGCTCCGCCATGTCTCCCAGTCTCAGCCCTTGGAGAAGAGATATCGGGAGACGAGGCACGTGGGATTTACTTGAATGAGCTTTAACTCCTTACTCAGCATGTTCAACATGCTGTGCGGAAAAAATGACAAGCAGACCGGTAGGCAGGCAGAAGGAGACATGCTCAGGCGGCTTGCTGCATGCCGAGACGAGGGGCTGGGATGGACTTCAGAATGAGCAACAAGGGTGCAGCAACCGGATGGGCATGAGTTTTGGATATGACAATGAACAAACAAGATTACCCTGAACTGGGCAGAACGACCAATCAAAAGAAGCGCGCTCAAGGGCAGGGCGATGGATGACGACATATTAAGAAACCGACAGATGAAACTATGGCTCTTGGGCGTACAGACATACATACATGCAGGCAGGCAGGCAGCTACGTGTATGTACTGAGACAAGTCGAGGCCTGTATGTGCCGTCAATGGCCCACACACTGCAGTCGCATGTAGCATCCACCGTGCACCGATCTTGGCATTCGATGTAGGAGCGGACCTCAGCAAGAGGAACTATTGGGTTCTTCTTGGGGAGCTTACAATTCCAGTTGTACTTCTAACAAAACAACAGACTTTGCAAAGGACTGGCACTTTTGTCATGGAAGCGTCGCAAGTGTCTTCAAGGCGTGTCCCACCAGGAAGGGACCCCATGCAAAATCATGTTTAGAGCCTAGCCAAACATAGTGCACTCAAAGCAACCACTGCCGGTCGATCCCCTGACAGGGCCACATTTCCAAGTCAGGCGCGCAAAACGGGAAAGTACGTGTCGACTTTGCGGGGCTCTTCTTCTTCTGCAAGGCCTACTCCTCGCTCCGCGAAACCCAAGAATCGCATTTCGGTTCAGAGGATAGAGTTTACCCATAGGCCCCATAGTCCCTTTTTGGGGTTCATGTTTAGATCCTAAAAGGTAATCCCGAAAAGGAACTACTATGGGGCACCAGCACAGAATTAGATTGTTGGACGGGTTGCCTCGATCGATGTCCTTGGAGCCCAAACTCCCGTAGGTGTTGTAGCGCCTATACCTTCCGTGACAACTTCTGGGCTTAAGTATTTATAAGGCGCGTTTGTGATGGGGTTCAAGGGAAGCGGCGGTCAAAATTGCAGAATGCATGGCGCCCAGAAACACAACACGGGAGACAACTCCAAATCCGACATAATCAGCAGAAGCACTCCGTGTATTTCGGCTTGGCGCTCGGAACTTTCATCAGCATGAACCTGGCTGCAGTTGCTTGACGGACAAATTCCAATGGTCTCGGGGATGCAAGTAGAAGTCTCAACTTCGACGCGCAGCGCAACAATCAATGCATGCTTCCACTGAAACCTGCCTCGTCGCAACAACGATGCGGCACAGCCGAAGGTCACGCAACGCTTACCCCGACAATCGTGGGCATCGCAGGCCGAGTTCCGGACGTCTCGCTATCCTTCGCGAAACGTGCAGGGTGCCTACGGCAGCCTCAGCACAGGCAGAATTTCGTGTCTCTGGGCGGGCGGGAGGGGGGGACTGGTGCTTTTTGCTTGTGAGTGTACATCTCTTTAGCTCTCTCTATCTGTTTCTGGCTCTGTCCGTGTGAAGGAGAATGCATAGGATCCTTGTCTGCTGACTATGCAGATTTTCGCGTCTTTTGTCGGTGTGCTAGGATTCCATGCACGACACGCCTCTGGTGTTGCAGATGTGTCTCTCTGTCCATCCATGGCTCTTTAACATCGTCTTTGTTCTCAAGTCCGGCGCAGCTGGGTGTGCAAGTTGTTAGGTCCCGAGACCAGCAGTTGATCCAAGGGCAAACAAGGCAAACAGAAACTAAGCAAAAGCAAAGCTTGCAGTAAATCTGGCCTGTGTTTGGTGCGTCTTGGGCGTGGGCAAAAGGAGAGCTGTTGTTTTCTGAATATGCGGAAAGCACACTCCGCAGGACCGACCCATACCTCCGGTGTCTGCACACCATCTGTAACCGTGTGTCTATGCAACGTATGTTGTGCTGGGGTTGTACAGACTATTTGTCTGTCAGATGTGCCGTGTGCCAGTGTTCGTGTGCGTGGCTAAGGGGGGGTTCATGCTTGAATGCATCTATGCATGCGCACGTCCGGCATATGTTCAAAGGCTCTGAAATGTCGGGCTTTGCAGTGCGAGGCGAAGTGCCTCATCCCAAGTTTCATCTGTCAGAAGGGAGGGCAGAATGCACAGAAGAACGTGCTCCCAGGCCTTGGATTTGCAACGGCCAGACTAGCACCCTCCCTACTACTCAAGGCACGGACCATTCCATCGCTGACAGCTCCTGGCGCTCCGGTTATATCTTCTGGCTTGTGTCTGAGAGCTTCCATCACGAGATCAGATGCAGCAGCCTCTGCAAGACCCTCCGTTATTACTAGAAATGGGAAGCACCCTTTCACCCTCTGCCCATGTTTAGTATGTAAGCATTGTACTCTGGCAAAACCCTTTATGCCAACGTATGCATACTTGACTTGCGCATGGACCCTCCGGCTGCGTGTGGCCTGGTCTTTGGCCGGTAAGCTGCGCATTCGCAACGAGGATCCTGCGCATGTCTTGGTGCAGCTCTCGCTGAGCCGAGAAGCAAGCAGACTCATATCAAGTCTCAGCCACGTGCACAATCTGGGAAAGCGTCAGCTTCACAAGCACGGCGCAATGAAACATAATATTGGGATTTCGCATGGTAGTTTTAGTAGTCTTCAGTGAACATGAGTCTGCTACCACTGTTTTGCCTGCTAGCAACTTGTTGTAACATGTTGGGGTCGAGGAAGGCGGATCATGGCGGATCCAAATTTCGTACGGTTACTTTTCGACACGTGGCTTGGTTGAGCCCTGTACCCCCATTCTATACCTCGTTTTGTGTTCGATGCAGTTTGCGACCAAACCTCTCCACTCGAAGCAGCAAGTCTGTGTAGACAACTCCGACACGTGCAAAGCCACACATTGCGCCCCAAGACCCCGAAATCTGCTTGCTGCTAGGCAGCGTTGTCACCTGATACAGGCACCGGCTCTTGGTCCCAGCAGTCGGACATGCCAAGTGAGGTGCTACGCTCAAGTTCGGTGGAGCTGGGTTGCCTTCCCTACAACTACAGTTGTCCAAATGATGGGTTAATGGGCTACATATTATCACCAGTGTCTCTGACATATGGTAACGCTGGAACGAAGAGACCAAGGATGCAATGAACGGACGCGAAGTCGGCCAGCCATCACGAGAGCACTTGCTTAATTCCCTTATAGAACCCTTGTAGATCCCTTCAAGGAACCTCCAAATCTCACTCTCCAAGCAAAGCCTTCCCTCTCGAAACCACAAAACGGACAAAATCAATTTTCGGCTGTGGACCTCTGCTTCAAACCTACACCGTCAGCTTTTTACAGCGACCGTCTAGGATGGAACAGGGAACCCAGCAACAAGGTGAACAGTGAACGTCATCGTGCCACAGCTGGCCACAAACCCCTGCAACTCTTCGCAATAGCGGGTGTGTTCAGAGTGGTACGGACGAAACGGGAAGGACTGCTGTGAGAGCAGTCCTGCAGGATCCAACGATGAAAATTCCGAAGATATGTCGAGCCGAAATCACTCCCCCAACAATCCCGGGCTTAGGTTTAGGTACCCCTATGCCCTAAATTTCTGAGGATCCCAACCGAGGACCGAAGGCTTGCAGCAGGATCCCTACGTCTATGCGCATACGCGTATCGGAAAGATTCAAAGAGCGTTTTCGGGTCCAGGGAAAGTTGGACTATGTAGCTTCGGAAGAAGCAGCCGAATCGCCGCAAGTTTGATCGCATCTTTCAGGATCACTTCGTCCTAGATGGCTCTATACAAGAATGAAATAGGCGCCTACGGCTCATGAACACTATCAAGTAGGCCCCAATTTCGTCAAGGCACATGCATCCATGCAAGCCTTCTCTGAGGGCACGGGGAAGCCCTGGCAAGCCAACTGGTTCAAAACTTCGCTGCACCTCTTAGTCATCGCCAATTCCCTGTTAGAGAGGTATCTTGTGGCATTGTCTCTACGCTCTCGCAACTCGGACATGCCTGACGAGGTCATTGTCTTTAGTTTCCCAGCCGCTCCACCTCAGCTTCGAGGGGCTCTTCCTGGTCCGGGTGGTACTCGATTCGCTCACCTTTGTGAACCTTGGCCGCTAGGGTAGTGGGAACGATCCTATGTCTTTTTCCCTACAATGACGGCTAAGCCCACATATGTAGCGGGGTTTCAAGGCCGTACCCGCAGGCAACCTCTGTGAAACTGCTACGCATTTGCTCTTCTTTGCTGCCTCAAGTCGTATACTAATCATCGAAACGTGCTGTGGCCATGGTTCCAAGTTGCCTAGCCGACACGGACTCTCAAACCGGATTTGTATAAGGTCTATGTGTCATGCTCTCCTTCGCAGCAGAAGCTTCTGAGGGCATGGCGTAGTACCGGTGCTCAACCCCAGTGTCCTGCAGGAAGACTCGACGTCACTTTTGATGCGTATGAGATCATCCGGCATGACTTCTCGCTCGGGGACAGATCTTGTAGGTTTTTGCAACCCCGCATCCGTGATGGTGTCAGTTTCGTGTGTTCTCGTGTGTGTATGTGTGTGTGTGTGTGTGTGTGTGTGTTTGCGTCTGACTGTTTAAATTAAACAGAAATGTCAAGCAAAACACGCCAGTTGCAAAGATCAACGCAACTGGGTTCAATGCAAAGTTTTCAGCGGGGAAACCAGGTTCGCATGCACTCCCAGACAAAAATCAGAAACCGTGCTCCGAAAATACAAAAACCCCACCCAGTGATGCCATGCCACTTCTACATTCTATATCATAGCTAGCCCCTCCATCCCACCCTCCCAAGCCATGGGAGCGACCATACTCTTTTCTTTTACAAACGGAGTCGATTCGATCATGGTCAAAGCGGTGCTCAGATACGGCAAACCCTCAAGACCTGCAAACTCTGCATAACACGACATGAGATCCAGCGAGCGCAAAAGGACTCAACATGGCTCTTCATGCCTCGAAGGAGACCTAAACTCTTGCGGATCTCTCTTATCTAGACCTAGGTTCTACCTGCCTTGTGAATTAGGTCTTAGATGGGGCTAGGGTCACACCCAAAACCTAAAGGGCCCCATGCCCAAAGCCCATTTTGGGGCTTTTGGGAAGTTTGGGTATGGCTTTAAGGTTTAGGGGTTTGTAGGGTTTAGGGTTCCCGAAGTTTGGAGATGCGAGGGGAAGGCATGGCCCTGTCACAGTTTGCGGCTCTTCAACACAATTAAACCGTCCTGAACATCATGAAGCCCTGACTTGCACAAGGATCTTCGGATCTGAGGCCCTGAAATTTCGGAAGCGCTTTCTCAAACTGCATCCATTAATGAAGAAAAAAGAAAAGCTCATAACAGAATTTTCTCTAGGGTGTGGATCTCGGCATTGTCCCCAAAGCCTATATAGACCCGCTAGAATCGCTATAGAATGCACAACGGAGCCAACATCCCAGCGGCTTCAGGGTCGTAGTCACCGTAGCTTCCAAACGAACTACCCGCTGATTGCCAGCTCCTTACTGGTCTTGCGATTCGCAGGCTTTGGGTTTAGGTTTTCTTAAAGGCCAGGTTTAGGGCTGAGGGGATAGGGAATCGTGAGCAAAGTCTCAGCAGCCTAAGCGCTAGCAAACACAAGCCCGCACAGACAAGCAAGGGTTCAACCATGTAAACTCTATGGTCAACGGTTAGCGCAGCCCAGATGTCCCTCCAGCTTGTATGACCAGGAAATTACTACGACGTGACTATTGATGATAGATTCATGGTTCCAGTACATTACGGACTCTGGCACAAGATGCCGCGGCCGATTCCCGCAAAGAACAGTGTAGTCACTGTCCTGACGGTCCCTGGAGCGGTTTTGGGGCCAGTTCACCATTTGCAAAACATGATTAAACCAACCAGTCTTGGGCACCCTTGGCTCTTTAGCCTTAATGGGGATTATGCTTATCCCTGGCTCCTCAGCTCCTCCAATATCAATGGTTAGTTAAGCCCTGCATCCAAACAACGAACACTAAGATATGGGGCGCGACGCAGTAAAACAAACCCAGCAACAGTCGATCCTGCGATGACTCCTCCACTCCTACCCTCGGAACCCATAGCTCTAACGCTCGGAAATCCCCAACACGTCGTACTCATCCATACTCCGACCCGAGTAATCTTTCTCTGTGTGTCCGTGCCTTCGTGTGTCTGTCTCCCGCTGTACGACTGGCTGCCCGTGTCTTTCGGGATGTGTGCGAGGCTCTCTGTTTGTGGGCGTGTCTGTATATTCTTTCTCCCTCTCTCTGCCTCGTCCAGGCGTCTGCGCATTTGCGTGCATGTGTGCGTGCGCGCGTCTGTCTGTCTGTCTGTGTGTGTGTGTGTGCATGTGTGTGGGTTTGTGTGTGTGTGTTTGTGTGTGTGGATTTGTCTGGATGTGTGTGTGTGTGTGCGTCGGAAGTTTTGCTTTCAGGTCTGTCACGCTTGTTCATGGCTCGTACCGAAAAGCAAGTCTGCGAATCGAAGCCAAGGCTCTCAGCATCCCAAACCCCTACCCCCTGCTGCGTGGCGCTGCCAAAGGAATGCAGTGCTAGTAGCACTCGCCATGCCATCCCTGCACATTTAAGGTCTCTGACATGACAGGGCCATGAGGCTAGGCTTTGGACTTACCACTTCGGGTAATGACTAAGCGCTCGTGAGCACAGCTCAATATACGCAGGATTCTGGTTAGTGGATTCGACATTCCGGCCTGGAGCTAACACAACATACTCAAAGAAACCGCCAGGAATGGAAGGAAATCACCCCCCCGTTGACTCTGACAACAGCGATGTACGCAAAAGCAGAAGCCTCGGTATGTGGCCTCGGGACAGGTCCCTATCTTGATCCCATCTGTCGTTACAAGAATTGGCGTTTGCGTCGTAAATTCACCAAACGGCAGTTGGTTGGCCTGACTAACAATAAACAAGTAAGTAAACGGACAAAAGTATATCCATTATACATACTGACACTATTTTGGATAAAGACAAACAGTATGAACATATATATATATATATATATATATATATATGTGTATACATATATATATATATATATATATGTATATATATGTATATATATGTATATATGCATATACATAATTAAACATGAAATAAACATATAGTTAAATAACTATCAATACATCTGAATATAAATACCCATATATATATATATATATACGTGTATGAATCGAGTCAGTGGCCAAACTCGTGGACAGGTCAGGTCCAGTGTAGGCTCTGCTCGGAGAGACCGACTGGGACTCGATGCTTCGGACTCTTTATATGGGGCTTAGCAGGGGCCCTGGGGTTTAGGGTTTAGGGTTGAATATAATAGTGCCCTAATATAATCCTTATAGTCACTATTACAGGGTGGGGGCAGCTTCTAATGGGTGGCTGTGAAAATCATGGTCCCTTTTTGGATCCCGATTAAAATGCAGCACCTATGATTTGGGGTACCCAGAAAGGGGCCTTTTTTTGCATCAGGACTTGCAAAAAGGGGCCTTAATTTTGACAACTTCCCACACCAACAGACCACGAAAACTTCGAAGAAGCCAGCGGTGAAAGTCAGACTGGATACTGCAGCTAGATGCCACGAGACGGGCAACAACTCCGCTGAGTGCCCACGCCACGGCCTTGTAAAACAAGTATTTGCAACAATGCTGGCCAAGCAGGCGGTTTGTTCTCTTGGTTTCTGGAGGGATGCAGTTCTTTGACGGTGTTTGCTGTCCCGCCTCTACCTGCGGATCGGTCCTCTCAACCGAATCATGGCACTACCCGGAACATAAAGAGAATACAGCTGCGGCGGCCGTTCTGCAAGTTCAGTTCGCAGCACTGTCGAATCAGCTGGTGTTGGGCGGATGTCGGGAATCTCTAGAACTTGTCGAGAACGGCAGCAGCAACAACAAAACCAGCAATGTCAACAGCAAACGCTAGGACGCCGGAGAGGATCAGCAGCGGCAACAACAACACCAACGACAAGGTTCTAACAAACGGCACAGGCAAGGATGCGACCAGCAGTGTCAACAGAATGCTCACACGTGCAGAACTTACAACATGATGAAGGCAACGGCAAATACAGCCAAGGCAACACACACACACACACACATCACAACAGCACCGGCTGCTACCACCGGAAAGTGCGGTTGTGTCTGCGGCAGTGACACGTAGGTAGCCATACCCCTGCACTACCCGACGGCTTCGGGATCTCAGGGTTCTCCAACCGGATAATGCTATTGCTTCTGACACTAACTAAAAGTACGCATAATTCTAATAGTCCTTGTCTCAGATACGAATAATGCCAATAGTACGAATAGTATTATTAATACTATGAGTTTAATTAATACCAGTACTAATTCTAAATAATACCAATAATGTTCATAATACTAAAAGCATTAATAATGCCAATGACATTACTAAGGCTTACAATAAATAATACTGCTAATCATGTAATAATAAACGAAACATACGAATACCAATGATTTCAGGTGAGTTTTCATTTAAACCCGGCGGGGTTAGGTCTAAATAGGTTTGGGGTGCGGCCCTTGCCCGGTCAAACTGTTGCCCCCTGTGGTGTGGCCCTGAATACGTATGCTTGCTATATGTTAGTATGTACTACGTATGTTTCTATGTATGTGTGTAGGTATGTTTGCATGTATGCACGTACCTGGGTGTGTGTGTGTGAGCACATGATATATATATATATATATATATATATATATTGAAATATACACATACACACACACACATATATATATATATATATATATATATATGTACGTATATACGCACATATGATCACCCCGTTGTGGTACATCAGCACGCACTGGTACACATGACTTGCTAGCAGAACACCGAGCAGAAGGTGCAGAGCATCTGGCCACTCCAGGACACCGTTGCCTGACGTCTTAGACGGTCCTGCATTCAGATCCCCCCCGTGTAGCCAACTAGACTCTTGTCTTATGCACGGCAACAGGACTCCGATGTGTACAAACCAGCAGGGGCAGTGTTGCAGAAGCCAGCAATACAGTAAATATAGGCAGGCATCAAATTGACTGCACAACTACTGCTGCACCCTCTGCACCCTCCCAGCAGACATGAGAAACCTCTGAGATCTGCACGGTCCGAGTGCAGTGCTCTGATCTTGGTAGGACAGTGGCTCGTGCTGCCTTCAGCCACCATGCGAAAACTCCAAATGCATGGACTGGCAGGACGTGACGAGAACGGAGAAAACAAGATCTGCGAGCATGTGCAATTTCTGCACCAAGCCGGGGGTGTGTCACCCTTGAGAAGGTGACATCCCGACAACGCGACTGTGTGCTTGCGATGCGGTTCCGAAACAACGGAAAGCACAAGGGAACAGGCGACAAAGGCCAGACAATCTCTGAAATTCAACCCCTCCTCTAACCTCTAGCGAGCGACGGGATGACTGTCAGCCAAAGCTGCAATGGCTGCCCTGCAGCCGCAAGAACTTGGATTCGGAACTCCATGGCGCACAGCTGCAAAGGACGCTGCCTCTTCACGAGACATCATCACCAGTTTACACTGTGGAGTTTGTAGTTCTGCGCGGGATCGGTTGCGAGGAGGGTTGTTGCTGTTTGCTTTGGGACCAGGCGTTCCTGAGCTTATGCAGCGAGCGTGCAGACGAGCGTCACGTCCTGGCCGTAACAACCGCTTCCATATGGGTTTCACTGTAACCGAAGCAACGCCCGACTGCGAGATCAGCAGTGGAAGTTGATAAGTTTCCGGGAGTGCCCTGGCATCCTTGACACCGAACAAAGAAGACGTGTGACGTTAAAGCGGATGTGCTGTTCAAGGGATCCTCATCCTCCATCCTCTCGAAAGTATTCTGTCTAGGGTTTTCTGGATTCACTTGCACAGCTATCAAAGTGCAACACGGTGCTCAAAACTATCCAACAGGATAAATCGCAGCAGCAGATCGTGCAGCAACCACCTGAGGTTTCATTGGCGGACACTTGCATACTCGGGAGACAACTCGGTGTGCTAGATAGCGGTTTAACAGACGAAGCTGCTATGCAATTTCCTCAAGAATGCAACAGTCATGATAGTACCTATTGAAAGTAAGCCTACTTTGACAGCTTGACACTCACACAGGCAATGGTTCAGTGCCCTCCGAACCGTTCTGACGCTGGCAACTGTGGCTTTTGCCCAAAGCATGGCGCAAGTGCTCAACATGCAAGACGGGCTCTGTACATGTGGGCATGGTGTGCCTGGGGCTTCGCAAAAGGCACTCGCGACTGGAGCATTGCGTTACCCATCCCTCTGCCGACATTGAAAGCCGGGCCGGATGAAACCCTAAGACCTGAACCTTAAGTTTATTAATCCTATGCACGAGGCCGGTCACGGCCCATATGGGTCGATGCTTTTTGTGTACAAATGCATCACAGCTGCTGCCTCGGTTGAAGCACGGGATGCAGGCCCAGTATATGTAAGATGAGAATCCCAGAGAAGCGACCCCTGACTTATAACAACATCCCGTATGCCAACGACATCGTGCACAGTCCGTACTTCTGTTGTCTCAACACAGTCTCATGTCTCATGTGGTTACAAACATGCGGACTACTCGTGGCAATATGTTGGAAGATTGCTCCTACACGATATGAACAACATACGGGCATGTGCAGAAACGCACGTACCTGCAGTACACTGCTTCGATGGGCCGCCTGGTTATCACCTAACATCCCCAGGCACACCCTGCAAAAGAACTTGTTCGCAATGTGTGGCCACATCGGCAATCTGTCGAATAGGGATGCCAGGCGCCGAGTAAGTAGATGTCAGTCTCAGGGTGAAGAAAAAAGGCAAGCAAACTGTCGACAGCCTCGGTGTGGTCGATGCGACGTTGGATGCCCAAGTTCCGTACAACTACGCTCGTTCCACTGGGTTGCTGCAATTGTCCACTAAAGCCGCTCGCAGTTCTTCTGGGCTGCTGAACCCCCAACTACCACAGCATGTTGCTGTGCTTAGTCTCGAGCTCTGGGCTTTGAAGTAACCAGGGAGAAAAAAGTATAGACTTTTATTTCATAGTTGGTTCCCTTTAAGTAAAAGGTCCCCAAAAAGTATTAAAGTATGGTACTCCAAAGCCCAGAGCTGCACTTGCGCGACTATGCAAAAACAACTGACCACGATATCTGTTCCATCAAACATCATTAGATTATGCGTAATTGTGGTGTTTCGAAGTCTGCACCCAACAGTTCAAGCTGTAACACTCTCTCTCTCTCTCTCTCTCTCTCTCTCTCTCTCTCTCTCTCTCAAGCTGTAACACCAAAGGCGATATCCGAACCGGCACACACATGAACTCATTAAACAGCTGGGCGATGGATGGCTTCACGTATATACCCCTAAGCAGAAAATCTAGGTATCAGTCAACTAGGGAGCAAAATTAACTGCGCTGGCCACCTCCCCAAGAGGCCAAACACATCAAAAACTGAGCGGCTATGGCAACATAACGCTCCATCTCACAGTGGGTATCCTGCAAGCATTTCTACAATCGGGATTGTTAGCTGAACCGGAGAGCAACGCATCGATGAACATCGCTGGTACGACGATGGTAACAACCTCCC